AGTCAGAATACATTCACACAGCAGGATTTTGAATCGCCGACAGGTCCAGATATTTAGCATGCCAAATATCTCACGGGTGTCGGCGACTCATCTGCGATTCTCTCAGATCGCGTCGTTGATAATTCACACTGCGTGATTGTCACTCGCGTGAACGAGCACCGATTTGCCTATGGTTTCGGGCATTTGTTGGCGATCTCCCAAAACCTGTCGGCGAATGAAACTCGTTCAGTGTGAACTCGGCATAAGCGATTTAAAGCGTAACTCTTCAGCTCCTGTAATGTCTCTATTGTCTTCACTGATGTCCGAACATTCAGAATGCAGAAGACTATTGGTCAATAGGCAATACCGCTTGAAACTTTACATCCTATAGCAATCAATAATAGAAGTGTTCTAAATATTAAAACATGCAAATATCTTCTGTAGAGTTCTCAGGACCAAAAAAAATAATGTTCGTCCAATCATTGCATTTGGATTCAGACTTGGATTTATGCATTTCCATGTCAACACTATCAACGCCAAAATGAATCTGCATCAGTCAGGTGGTACAACTAGAGCACCGCACATCGTTTACGTTCATGATCACGGTAATGTTATGCATTTTGATACATGAGGCAATTTAACGCAGTCTTTCGTCTCGTGACACTTTGCAGACTCTGCTGTGTGGGGTTTCAGGCGTTTTGAAGGAGGGTGGGATCTCATGCATAGATTCCAATGAGCCATTATGTGAGAGAACAGCCAAACTAACACTGGCATACCAAAAACACCAAATTCTTTGTTTTCCCACTTAAAAAAAAAAAAGAACAAAAAGAGGAATTAGTCAGACAAGTGTGAGATTTATTTGGTGATACAGGAAAAACAAACCATACATCCAATGGTTAAATCAGCACAGTTAACTGCATGCATATCCACATTACTTATGGCCAGGACATTGGCCATAAGGGTGAGTTTGGTGACAGTTTTCGGCACACACTGGAGGCTTTGGCAATTCAGCAGCAGGCTTCACTGGAGGCTTGGGCAATTCAGCTGCAGGCTTCACTGGAGGCTTGGGCAATTCAGCTGCAGGCTTCACTGGAGGCTTGGGCAATTCAGCAGCAGGCTTCACTGGAGGCTTGGGCAATTCGGCAGCAGGCTTCACTGGAGGCTTCGCGGGTTCGGCAGCAGGCTTCAATGGAGGCTTCGCGGGTTCGGCAGCAGGCTTCAATGGAGGCTTCGCGGGTTCGGCAGCAGGCTTCAATGGAGGCTTCGCTGGAGGCTTCGCGGGTTCGGCTGCAGGCTTCACAGGAGGCTTCGCGGGTTCGGCTGCAGGCTTCACAGGAGACTTCGCGGGTTCGGCTGCAGGCGGCTCTGGCAGTTCGTCGGAAGGCTCCAGCAGTTCGGCAGAAGGCTCCGGCATTTCGGTAGAAGGCTCCGGCAGTTCGGCAGAAGGCTCCGGCATTTAGGTAGAAGGCTCCGGCAGTTCGGCGGAAGGCTTCGGTGGTTCGGCTGCAGGCCTCACTGCAGGCTTCACTGGAGGCTTCGGTTCTGCTGCAGGCTTCATTGGAGGCTTCGGAGGTTCGCCTGCAGGCCTCACTGGAGGCTTCGGCGGTTCGACTGCAGGCTTCACTGGATGCTTCGGCGGTTCGCCTGCAGGCTTCACTGGATGGATACAGATAGTCAACTTTAGTCTGTCTGTTTAGCGGCATTCAGTCTCAGATACAGCACAGTACCCAAATAGCAAGTTTTACTCCTCTTAATTATTAAATCATAATCGTATTAAGAATTAATTTTGCAAAGCCATCCTGTGCTTGAAACCGTGCAATTGGCCTGAATACTTTTTACATTGAGAACAATTATTTATAAAACAAGACAAACTGAAATGAGGAAGCTGACCCAAACACTAATATCATAACATAACAAATACCTGCAAATGGAGCCATACACTGATGTCCACATCCATTGCTGCAGCATTTCTCATTGTTCGGACAGTCACTGTCATAGTAACACAACTCGGCACACGTTTCTGCTCCAAAATGTGTGCTTGGACACTCTCCTGGCTTTGCTGTTATAGAGACACATGACAGAGAAGCCACATCACTGAATAATGAATGTCTCATTCACTGTATGAAAAAAAAAAGTTGTCATAAGATGATTGTAGGAGGATTTACCAAAATATTCAGTCTATCTACTTCATAGTTTCACGTTTAGTTCAATGCGTTACTTGCGGTTTCTTTGCAATTATTTGTGAAACTTACTGCGATTTCTGAGAGAAAAAACAAATCAGTGGTTTTTTTGGAAGACGTATAGCATCCATCATTAATTAAAACTCACTGAAAACAGGCGGCACACACAAGCGCCCACAGGGAAATTGACAGCATTTGTGTCCTCCAGAGCAGTCTCTATCAGAAGTGCATCCTCGACGGGACGGCACGACCGTCAGCATCGCCGGACACTGACCAGAGACTACAGAAGAGGATTCAAGAGGATCATTAGGGGAGACCAGGAAGTGCTGTAATAGTTTGCTTCAGCATTTGCAAGTTGGGGGTTTTGCAATGAGTCTCAAACTTTATAACATTCCTACATTTATCTGCTTCAATTCAAAGCAGCTTAGAAATCTACCATTTTTCACTAAAGTGCATCAATCAGTTTCAAAGACTGAGAGTGCGGTTACAACCTACCCCACTATAGTAGAGTTAGTAATAGTGCAATGCTGATAGAAAACATGGACATCAGTTAATATGTTGTATACAAATTAACTGGTGTACATCTTCAAAAATTATGCCATCCCCATGACCACCCTCATTTCCTTTAAGCATTTTAATAGGCTTCTCAACAGAAAACAAAGACGCGCACTATTTATAATGCAGAGTTATCGGTCATAATTAGCTCCCATGGGCTTATGAATTTCTTTTAAAAAAAAAACTTTAGGTAAAAGTTTAAACTCAGGATTGATACAGTCTGGTAACAATTTTGTAGCCATATTATAACTCTAATGTTCTTGTTTTACAGTAAACAAAAATGCCTATATTAGTGATTATATGGGTTTTACTTGATACTTTGCTTATTATTAAAACTAAACCAACATACAAAGTTGAACTTCCACTTGACGTCTGTACTGTATTTTCGGAAGCAGATGTGTCTAAAATCAAATTTTGTAAGGCACTTTATTTATGCACTTCTTCGGGCTGCGTAATGAAGCTAAAAGAACTTCTCACCTAGGACTCCAGCGTGTGTTGTGCTCAAACAAGCAGACATACACAATAAAACCGCACTAAACAAGCAGTACACTTGAGCTGTCATCCTCTCGACCTGCGATCTCACAATCAACTCTGCTGGAAGATGCACTGAATTAGTGAGTCAGCAGGGGCGGACAGCGAGGACCACAAAACTACAAAGGAAAACCCTGTTGCTGCATCAAAATACCATCTGAGTCCCACAACAAACGCTATCAAAAGAGTTTAAAGCACTTTTTGAAAATGCGTTTTTAAAGATCCAATTGGAGTTCTGGGTAACTCCAACCCTAATGAAAATCACCTGTCTGTAGCTTTCTAATATAGCCTAATCTTGAAGACCTTGATTAGCTTGTTTAGGTGTGTTTGATTAGGGTTGGATGTCATAATAATAACCGTAATCTGGAGATGATTGATTGTTTTTATGGCAACACTATCAACGCCAAATTAATCTGCAGTGGTCAGGTGGTACAGCGATCACGTGGTACAAGTCGGAGTTCTACCACAAGTTACAAGTTGTAGTTATGACTAAACTCCTAAACTCTCCAGGAAATGGATCTCTACTGGAGACTGGCATAACTCTGCATTGAACATCGTTATTAAACAATGTTATTAAAAATGATAGCCTGCAAGAAGATTTTCGATCCAAATTGTCTGTACGCTGATTTGCAGTGAAAAGGAGAAAATAACAAACAGATTATGCTGGAGGAAAGGGTTGGGGAGACGAGGGGAGCAAGGATTGTGTGTTGTGCAAAGAGAGTTGGGGGTAAATACATTTTACAATGTGCTGCTGGTCAAGCAAATGTTTGTGCTTTGTTTCTGTTAAAATACTGATATTCTGGTCTATAACTCTTCCCCGAACATCCCGCTGTCCTGTAGTTTTCAGTCAGAATACATTCACACAGCAGGATTTTGAATCGCCGACAGGTCCAGATATTTAGCATGCCAAATATCTCACGGGTGTCGGCGACTCATCTGCGATTCTCTCAGATCGCGTCGTTGATAATTCACACTGCGTGATTGTCACTCGCGTGAACGAGCACCGATTTGCCTATGGTTTCGGGCATTTGTTGGCGATCTCCCAAAACCTGTCGGCGAATGAAACTCGTTCAGTGTGAACTCGGCATAAGCGATTTAAAGCGTAACTCTTCAGCTCCTGTAGTGTCTCTATTGTCTTCACTGATGTCCGAACATTCAGAATGCAGAAGACTATTGGTCAATAGGCAATACCGCTTGAAACTTTACATCCTATAGCAATCAATAATAGAAGTGTTCTAAATATTAAAACATGCAAATATCTTCTGTAGAGTTCTCAGGACCAAAAAAAAATAATGTTCGTCCAATCATTGCATTTGGATTCAGACTTGGATTTATGCATTTCCATGTCAACACTATCAACGCCAAAATGAATCTGCATCAGTCAGGTGGTACAACTAGAGCACTGCACATCGTTTACGTTCATGATCACGGTAATGTTATGCATTTTGATACATGAGGCAATTTAACGCAGTCTTTCGTCTCGTGACACTTTGCAGACTCTGCTGTGTGGGGTTTCAGGCGTTTTGAAGGAGGGTGGGATCTCATGCATAGATTCCAATGAGCCATTATGTGAGAGAACAGCCAAACTAACACTGGCATACCAAAAACACCAAATTATTTGTTTTCCCACTTAAAAAAAAAAAGAACAAAAAGAGGAATTAGTCAGACAAGTGTGAGATTTATTTGGTGATACAGGAAAAACAAACCATACATCCAATGGTTAAATCAGCACAGTTAACTGCATGCATATCCACATTACTTATGGCCAGGACATTGGCCATAAGGGTGAGTTTGGTGACAGTTTTCGGCACACACTGGAGGCTTTGGCAATTCAGCAGCAGGCTTCACTGGAGGCTTGGGCAATTCAGCAGCAGGCTTCACTGGAGGCTTGGGCAATTCAGCAGCAGGCTTCACTGGAGGCTTGGGCAATTCGGCAGCAGGCTTCACTGGAGGCTTCGCGGGTTCGGCAGCAGGCTTCAATGGAGGCTTCGCCGGTTCGGCTGCAGGCTTCACAGGAGGCTTCGCGGGTTCGGCTGCAGGCTTCACAGGAGGCTTCGCGGGTTCGGCTGCAGGCTTCGCGGGTTCGGCTGCACGCTTCACAGGAGGCTTCGCGGGTTCGGCTGCAGGCTTCACAGGAGGCTTCGCGGGTTCGGCTGCAGGCTTCACAGGAGGCTTCGCGGGTTCGGCTGCAGGTGGCTCTGGCAGTTCGTCGGAAGGCTCCAGCAGTTCGGCAGAAGGCTCCGGCTCAGGCAGTTCGGCAGAAGGCTCCGGCAGTTCGGCAGAAGGCTCCGGCTCAGGCAGTTCGGCAGAAGGCTCCGGCAGTTCGGCAGAAGGCTCCGGCAGTTCGGCAGAAGGCTCCGGCAGTTCGGCAGAAGGCTCCGGCAGTTCGGCAGAAGGCTCCGGCAGTTCGGCAGAAGGCTCCGGCAGTTCGGCAGAAGGCTTCGGTGGTTCGGCTGCAGGCTTCACTGGAGGCTTCGGTTCTGCTGCAGGCTTCATTGGAGGCTTCGGAGGTTCGCCTGCAGGCCTCACTGGAGGCTTCGGTTCTGCTGCAGGCTTCATTGGAGGCTTCGGAGGTTCGCCTGCAGGCCTCACTGGAGGCTTCGGTTCTGCTGCAGGCTTCATTGGAGGCTTCGGCGGTTCGGCTGCAGGCTTCACTGGAGGCTTCGGCGGTTCGGCTGCAGGCTTCACTGGATGCTTCGGCGGTTCGCCTGCAGGCTTCACTGGATGGATACAGATAGTCAACTTTAGTCTGTCTGTTTAGCGGCATTCAGTCTCAGATACAGCACAGTACCCAAATAGCAAGTTTTACTCCTCTTAATTATTAAATCATAATCGTATTAAGAATTAATTTTGCAAAGCCATCCTGTGCTTGAAACCGTGCAATTGGCCCGAATACTTTTTACATTGAGAACAATTAATTATAAAACAAGACAAACTGAAATGAGGAAGCTGACCCAAACACTAATATCATAACATAACAAATACCTGCAAATGGAGCCATACACTGATGTCCACATCTATTGCTGCAGCATTTCTCATTGTTCGGACAGTCACTGTCATAGTAACACAACTCGGCACACGTTTCTGCTCCAAAATTTGTGCTTGGACACTCTCCTGGCTTTGCTGTTATAGAGACACATGACAGAGAAGCCACATCACTGAATAATGAATGTCTCATTTACTGTATGAAAAAAAAAAAAAAAGTGGTCATAAGATGATTGTAGGAGGATTTACCAGAATATTCAGTCTATCTACTTCATAGTTTCACGTTTAGTTCAATGTGTTACTTGCGGTTTCTTTGCAATTATTTGTGAAACTTACTGCGATTTCTGAGAGAAAAAAAAAATCAGTGGTTTTTTTGGAAGACGTATAGCATCCATCATTAATTAAAACTCACTGAAAACAGGCGGCACACACGAGCGCCCACAGGGAAATTGACAGCATTTGTGTCCTCCAGAGCAGTCTCTATCAGAAGTGCATCCTCGACGGGACGGCACGACCGTCAGCATCGCCGGACACTGACCGGAGACTACAGAAGAGGATTCAAGAGGATCATTAGGGGAGACCAGGAAGTGCTGTAATAGTTTGCATTTGCAAGTTGGGGGTTTCGCAATGCGTCTCAAACTTTATAATATTCACACATTTATCTGCTTCAATTCAAAGTAGCTTAGAAATCTACCATTTTTCACTAAAGTGCATCAATCAGTTTCAAAGACTGAGAGTGCGGTTACAACCTACCCCACTATAGTAGAGTTAGTAATAGTGCAATGCTGATAGAAAACATGGACATCAGTTAATATGTTGTATACAAATGAACTGGTGTACATCTTCAAAAATTATGCCATCCCCATGACCACCCTCATTTCCTTTAAGCATTTTAATAGGCTTCTCAACAGAAAACAAAGACGCGCACTATTTATAATGCAGAGTTATCGGTCATAATTAGCTCCCATGGGCTTATGAATTTCTTTTTTAAAAAAAACTTTAGGTAAAAGTTTAAACTCAGGATTGATACAGTCTGGTAACAATTTTGTAGCCATATTATAACTCTAATGTTCTTGTTTTACAGTAAACAAAAATGCCTATATTAGTGATTATATGGGTTTTACTTGATACTTTGCTTATTATTAAAACTAAACCAACATACAAAGTTGAACTTCCACTTGACGTCTGTACTGTATTTTCGGAAGCAGATGTGTCTAAAATCAAATTTTGTAAGGCACTTTATTTATGCACTTCTTCGGGCTGCGTAATGAAGCTAAAAGAACTTCTCACCTAGGACTCCAGCGTGTGTTGTGCTCAAACAAGCAGACATACACAATAAAACCGCACTAAACAAGCAGTACACTTGAGCTGTCATCCTCTCGACCTGCGATCTCACAATCAACTCTGCTGGAAGATGCACTGAATTAGTGAGTCAGCAGGGGCGGACAGCGAGGACCACAAAACTACAAAGGAAAACCCTGTTGCTGCATCAAAATACCATCTGAGTCCCACAACAAACGCTATCAAAAGAGTTTAAAGCACTTTTTGAAAATGCGTTTTTAAAGATCCAATTGGAGTTCTGGGTAACTCCAACCCTAATGAAAATCACCTGTCTGTAGCTTTCTAATATAGCCTAATCTTGAAGACCTTGATTAGCTTGTTTAGGTGTGTTTGATTAGGGTTGGATGTCATAATAATAACCGTAATCTGGAGATGATTGATTGTTTTTATGGCAACACTATCAACGCCAAATTAATCTGCAGTGGTCAGGTGGTACAGCGATCACGTGGTACAAGTCGGAGTTCTACCACAAGTTACAAGTTGTAGTTATGACTAAACTCCTAAACTCTCCAGGAAATGGATCTCTACTGGAGACTGGCATAACTCTGCATTGAACATCGTTATTAAACAATGTTATTAAAAATGATAGCCTGCAAGAAGATTTTCGATCCAAATTGTCTGTACGCTGATTTGCAGTGAAAAGGAGAAAATAACAAACAGATTATGCTGGAGGAAAGGGTTGGGGAGACGAGGGGAGCAAGGATTGTGTGTTGTGCAAAGAGAGTTGGGGGTAAATACATTTTACAATGTGCTGCTGGTCAAGCAAATGTTTGTGCTTTGTTTCTGTTAAAATACTGATATTCTGGTCTATAACTCTTCCCCGAACATCCCGCTGTCCTGTAGTTTTCAGTCAGAATACATTCACACAGCAGGATTTTGAATCGCCGACAGGTCCAGATATTTAGCATGCCAAATATCTCACGGGTGTCGGCGACTCATCTGCGATTCTCTCAGATCGCGTCGTTGATAATTCACACTGCGTGATTGTCACTCGCGTGAACGAGCACCGATTTGCCTATGGTTTCGGGCATTTGTTGGCGATCTCCCAAAACCTGTCGGCGAATGAAACTCGTTCAGTGTGAACTCGGCATAAGCGATTTAAAGCGTAACTCTTCAGCTCCTGTAGTGTCTCTATTGTCTTCACTGATGTCCGAACATTCAGAATGCAGAAGACTATTGGTCAATAGGCAATACCGCTTGAAACTTTACATCCTATAGCAATCAATAATAGAAGTGTTCTAAATATTAAAACATGCAAATATCTTCTGTAGAGTTCTCAGGACCAAAAAAAAATAATGTTCGTCCAATCATTGCATTTGGATTCAGACTTGGATTTATGCATTTCCATGTCAACACTATCAACGCCAAAATGAATCTGCATCAGTCAGGTGGTACAACTAGAGCACTGCACATCGTTTACGTTCATGATCACGGTAATGTTATGCATTTTGATACATGAGGCAATTTAACGCAGTCTTTCGTCTCGTGACACTTTGCAGACTCTGCTGTGTGGGGTTTCAGGCGTTTTGAAGGAGGGTGGGATCTCATGCATAGATTCCAATGAGCCATTATGTGAGAGAACAGCCAAACTAACACTGGCATACCAAAAACACCAAATTATTTGTTTTCCCACTTAAAAAAAAAAAGAACAAAAAGAGGAATTAGTCAGACAAGTGTGAGATTTATTTGGTGATACAGGAAAAACAAACCATACATCCAATGGTTAAATCAGCACAGTTAACTGCATGCATATCCACATTACTTATGGCCAGGACATTGGCCATAAGGGTGAGTTTGGTGACAGTTTTCGGCACACACTGGAGGCTTTGGCAATTCAGCAGCAGGCTTCACTGGAGGCTTGGGCAATTCAGCAGCAGGCTTCACTGGAGGCTTGGGCAATTCAGCAGCAGGCTTCACTGGAGGCTTGGGCAATTCGGCAGCAGGCTTCACTGGAGGCTTCGCGGGTTCGGCAGCAGGCTTCAATGGAGGCTTCGCTGGAGGCTTCGCCGGTTCGGCTGCAGGCTTCACAGGAGGCTTCGCGGGTTCGGCTGCAGGCTTCACAGGAGGCTTCGCGGGTTCGGCTGCAGGCTTCGCGGGTTCGGCTGCACGCTTCACAGGAGGCTTCGCGGGTTCGGCTGCAGGCTTCACAGGAGGCTTCGCGGGTTCGGCTGCAGGCTTCACAGGAGGCTTCGCGGGTTCGGCTGCAGGCTTCACAGGAGGCTTCGCGGGTTCGGCTGCAGGTGGCTCTGGCAGTTCGTCGGAAGGCTCCAGCAGTTCGGCAGAAGGCTCCGGCTCAGGCAGTTCGGCAGAAGGCTCCGGCTCAGGCATTTCGGTAGAAGGCTCCGGCAGTTCGGCAGAAGGCTCCGGCAGTTCGGCAGAAGGCTCCGGCATTTCGGCAGAAGGCTCCGGCATTTCGGCGGAAGGCTTCGGTGGTTCGGCTGCAGGCCTCACTGCAGGCTTCACTGGAGGCTTCGGTTCTGCTGCAGGCTTCATTGGAGGCTTCGGAGGTTCGCCTGCAGGCCTCACTGGAGGCTTCGGTTCTGCTGCAGGCTTCATTGGAGGCTTCGGAGGTTCGCCTGCAGGCCTCACTGGAGGCTTCGGTTCTGCTGCAGGCTTCATTGGAGGCTTCGGCGGTTCGGCTGCAGGCTTCACTGGAGGCTTCGGAGGTTCGGCTGCAGGCTTCACTGGATGCTTCGGCGGTTCGCCTGCAGGCTTCACTGGATGGATACAGATAGTCAACTTTAGTCTGTCTAGCGGCATTCAGTCTCAGATACAGCACAGTACCCAAATAGCAAGTTTTACTCCTCTTAATTATTAAATCATAATCGTATTAAGAATTAATTTTGCAAAGCCATCCTGTGCTTGAAACCGTGCAATTGGCCCGAATACTTTTTACATTGAGAACAATTAATTATAAAACAAGACAAACTGAAATGAGGAAGCTGACCCAAACACTAATATCATAATATAACAAATACCTGCAAATGGAGCCATACACTGATGTCCACATCCATTGCTGCAGCATTTCTCATTGTTCGGACAGTCACTGTCATAGTAACACAACTCGGCACACGTTTCTGCTCCAAAATTTGTGCTTGGACACTCTCCTGGCTTTGCTGTTATAGAGACACATGACAGAGAAGCCACATCACACATCACTGAATAATGAATGTCTCATTCACTGTATGAAAAAAAAAAAAAGTGGTCATAAGATGATTGTAGGAGGATTTACCAGAATATTCAGTCTATCTACTTCATAGTTTCACGTTTAGTTCAATGTGTTACTTGCGGTTTCTTTGCAATTATTTGTGAAACTTACTGCGATTTCTGAGAGAAAAAAAAAATCTGTGGTTTTTTTGGAAGACGTATAGCATCCATCATTAATTAAAACTCACTGAAAACAGGCGGCACACACGAGCGCCCACAGGGAAATTGACAGCATTTGTGTCCTCCAGAGCAGTCTCTATCAGAAGTGCATCCTCGACGGGACGGCACGACCGTCAGCATCGCCGGACACTGACCGGAGACTACAGAAGAGGATTCAAGAGGATCATTAGGGGAGACCAGGAAGTGCTGTAATAGTTTGCTTCAGCATTTGCAAGTTGGGGGTTTTGCAATGCGTCTCAAACTTTATAATATTCACACATTTATCTGCTTCAATTCAAAGTAGCTTAGAAATCTACCATTTTTCACTAAAGTGCATCAATCAGTTTCAAAGACTGAGAGTGCGGTTACAACCTACCCCACTATAGTAGAGTTAGTAATAGTGCAATGCTGATAGAAAACATGGACATCAGTTAATATGTTGTATACAAATTAACTGGTGTACATCTTCAAAAATTATGCCATACCCATGACCACCCTCATTTCCTTTAAGCATTTTAATAGGCTTCTCAACAGAAAACAAATAGACGCGCACTATATATAACGCAGAGTTATCGGTTATAATTAGCTCCCATGGGCTTATGAATTTCTTTAAAAAAAAAAAAACTTTAGGTAAAAGTTTAAACTCAGGATTGATACAGTCTGGTAACAATTTTGTAGCCATATTATAACTCTAATGTTCTTGTTTTACAGTAAACAAAAATGCCTATATTAGTGATTATATGGGTTTTACTTGATACTTTGCTTATTATTAAAACTAAACCAACATACAAAGTTGAACTTCCACTTGACGTCTGTACTGTATTTTCGGAAGCAGATGTGTCTAAAATCAAATTTTGTAAGGCACTTTATTTATGCACTTATTCGGGCTGCGTAATGAAGCTAAAAGAACTTCTCACCTAGGACTCCAGCGTGTGTTGTGCTCAAACAAGCAGACATACACAATAAAACCGCACTAAACAAGCAGTACACTTGAGCTGTCATCCTCTCGACCTGCGATCTCACAATCAACTCTGCTGGAAGATGCACTGAATTAGTGAGTCAGCAGGGGCGGACAGCGAGGACCACAAAACTACAAAGGAAAACCCTGTTGCTGCATCAAAATACCATCTGAGTCCCACAACAAACGCTATCAAAAAAATGTAAAGCACTTTTTGAAAATGCGTTTTTAAAGATCCAATTGGAGTTCTGGGTAACTCCAACCCTAATGAAAAACACCTGTCTGTAGCTTTCTAATATAGCCTAATCTTGAAGACCTTGATTAGCTTGTTCAGGTGTGTTTGATTAGGGTTGGATGTCGTAATAATAACCGTAATTTGGAGATGATTGATTGTTTTTATGGCAACACTATCAACGCCAAATGAATCTGCAGTGGTCAGGTGGTACAGCGATCACGTGGTACAAGTCGGAGTTCTACCACAAGTTACAAGTTGTAGTTATGACTAAACTCCTAAACTCTCCAGGAAATGGATCTCTACTGGAGACTGGCATAACTCTGCATTGAACATCGTTATTAAACAATGTTATTAAAAATGATAGCCTGCAAGAAGATTTTCGATCCAAATTGTCTGTACGCTGATTTGCAGTGAAAAGGAGAAAATAACAAACAGATTATGCTGGAGGAAAGGGTTGGGGAGACGAGGGGAGCAAGGATTGTGTGTTGTGCAAAGAGAGTTGGGGGTAAATACATTTTACAATGTGCTGCTGGTCAAGCAAATGTTTGTGCTTTGTTTCTGTTAAAATACTGATATTCTGGTCTATAACTCTTCCCCGAACATCCCGCTGTCCTGTAGTTTTCAGTCAGAATACATTCACACAGCAGGATTTTGAATCGCCGACAGGTCCAGATATTTAGCATGCCAAATATCTCACGGGTGTCAGCGACTCATCTGCGATTCTCTCAGATCGCGTCGTTGATAATTCACACTGCGTGATTGTCACTCGCGTGAACGAGCACCGATTTGCCTATGGTTTCGGGCATTTGTTGGCGATCTCCCAAAACCTGTCGGCGAATGAAACTCGTTCAGTGTGAACTCGGCATAAGCGATTTAAAGCGTAACTCTTCAGCTCCTGTAATGTCTCTATTGTCTTCACTGATGTCCGAACATTCAGAATGCAGAAGACTATTGGTCAATAGGCAATACCGCTTGAAACTTTACATCCTATAGCAATCAATAATAGAAGTGTTCTAAATATTAAAACATGCAAATATCTTCTGTAGAGTTCTCAGGACCAAAAAAAAATAATGTTCGTCCAATCATTGCATTTGGATTCAGACTTGGATTTATGCATTTCCATGTCAACACTATCAACGCCAAAATGAATCTGCATCAGTCAGGTGGTACAACTAGAGCACTGCACATCGTTTACGTTCATGATCACGGTAATGTTATGCATTTTGATACATGAGGCAATTTAACGCAGTCTTTCGTCTCGTGACACTTTGCAGACTCTGCTGTGTGGGGTTTCAGGCGTTTTGAAGGAGGGTGGGATCTCATGCATAGATTCCAATGAGCCATTATGTGAGAGAACAGCCAAACTAACACTGGCATACCAAAAACACCAAATTATTTGTTTTCCCACTTAAAAAAAAAAAAAAGAACAAAAAGAGGAATTAGTCAGACAAGTGAGATTTATTTGGTGATACAGGAAAAACAAACCATACATCCAATGGTTAAATCAGCACAGTTAACTGCATGCATATCCACATTACTTATGGCCAGGACATTGGCCATAAGGGTGAGTTTGGTGACAGTTTTCGGCACACACTGGAGGCTTTGGCAATTCAGCAGCAGGCTTCACTGGAGGCTTGGGCAATTCAGCTGCAGGCTTCACTGGAGGCTTCGGCAATTCAGCAGCAGGCTTCACTGGAGGCTTCGCGGGTTCGGCAGCAGGCTTCACTGGAGGCTTCGCTGGAGGCTTCGCTGGAGGCTTCGCTGGAGGCTTCGCGGGTTCGGCAGCAGGCTTCGCTGGAGGCTTCACTGGAGGCTTCGCTGGAGGCTTCGCTGGAGGCTTCGCGGGTTCGGCTGCAGGCTTCACAGGAGGCTTCGCGGGTTCGGCTGCAGGCGGCTCTGGCAGTTCGTCGGAAGGCTCCAGCAGTTCGGCAGAAGGCTCCGGCATTTCGGTAGAAGTCTCCGGCAGTTCGGCAGAAGGCTCCGGCAGTTCGGCAGAAGGCTCCGGCAGTTCGGCAGAAGGCTCCGGCAGTTCGGCAGAAGGCTCCGGCAGTTCGGCAGAAGGCTCCGGCAGTTCGGCTGCAGGCCTCACTGCAGGCTTCACTGGAGGCTTCAGTTCTGCTGCAGGCTTCATTGGAGGCTTCGGAGGTTCGCCTGCAGGCCTCACTGGAGGCTTTACTGGAGGCTTCGGCGGTTCGGCTGCAGGCTTCACTGGAGGCTTCGGAGGTTCGGCTGCAGGCTTCACTGGAGGCTTCACTGGATGCTTCGGCGGTTCGCCTGCAGGCTTCACTGGATGGATACAGATAGTCAACTTTAGTCTGTCTGTTTAGCGGCATTCAGTCTCAGATACAGCACAGTACCCAAATAGCAAGTTTTACTCCTCTTAATTATTAAATCATAATCGTATTAAGAATTAATTTTGCAAAGCCATCCTGTGCTTGAAACCGTGCAATTGGCCCGAATACTTTTTACATTGAGAACAATTAATTATAAAACAAGACAAACTGAAATGAGGAAGCTGACCCAAACACTAATATCATAACATAACAAATACCTGCAAATGGAGCCATACACTGATGTCCACATCCATTGCTGCAGCATTTCTCATTGTTCGGACAGTCACTGTCATAGTAACACAACTCGGCACACGTTTCTGCTCCAAAATTTGTGCTTGGACACTCTCCTGGCTTTGCTGTTATAGAGACACATGACAGAGAAGCCACATCACTGAATAATGAATGTCTCATTCACTGTAAGAAAAGAAAAAAGTTGTCATAAGATGATTGTAGGAGGATTTACCAGAATATTCAGTCTATCTACTTCATAGTTTCACGTTTAGTTCAATGTGTTACTTGCGGTTTCTTTGCAATTATTTGTGAAACTTACTGCGATTTCTGAGAGAAAAAAAAAAATCTGTGTTTTTTTTGGAAGACGTATAGCATCCATCATTAATTAAAACTCACTGAAAACAGGCGGCACACACGAGCGCCCACAGGGAAATTGACAACATTTGTGTCCTCCAGAGCAGTCTCTATCAGAAGTGCATCCTCGACGGGACGGCACGACCGTCAGCATCGCCGGACACTGACCGGAGACTACAGAAGAGGATTCAAGAGGATCATTAGGGGAGACCAGGAAGTGCTGTAATAGTTTGCTTCAGCATTTGCAAGTTGGGGGTTTTGCAATGCGTCTCAAACTTTATAATATTCACACATTTATCTGCTTCAATTCAAAGTAGCTTAGAAATCTACCATTTTTCACTAAAGTGCATCAATCAGTTTCAAAGACTGAGAGTGTGGTTACAACCTACCCCACTATAGTAGAGTTAGTAATAGTGCAATGCTGATAGAAAACATGGACATCAGTTAATATGTTGTATACAAATTAACTGGTGTACATCTTCAAAAATTATGCCATCCCCATGACCACCCTCATTTCCTTTAAGCATTTTAATAGGCTTCTCAACAGAAAACAAAGACGCGCACTATTTATAATGCAGAGTTATCGGTCATAATTAGCTCCCATGGGCTTATGAATTTCTTTTTTAAAAAAAACTTTAGGTAAAAGTTTAAACTCAGGATTGATACAGTCTGGTAACAATTTTGTAGCCATATTATAACTCTAATGTTCTTGTTTTACAGTAAACAAAAATGCCTATATTAGTGATTATATGGGTTTTACTTGATACTTTGCTTATTATTAAAACTAAACCAACATACAAAGTTGAACTTCCACTTGACGTCTGTACTGTATTTTCGGAAGCAGATGTGTCTAAAATCAAATTTTGTAAGGCACTTTATTTATGCACTTCTTCGGGCTGCGTAATGAAGCTAAAAGAACTTCTCACCTAGGACTCCAGCGTGTGTTTTGCTCAAACAAGCAGACATACACAATAAAACCGCACTAAACAAGCAGTACACTTGAGCTGTCATCCTCTCGACCTGCGATCTCACAATCAACTCTGCTGGAAGATGCACTGAATTAGTGAGTCAGCAGGGGCGGACAGCGAGGACCACAAAACTACAAAGGAAAACCCTGTTGCTGCATCAAAATACCATCTGAGTCCCACAACAAACGCTATCAAAAGAGTTTAAAGCACTTTTTGAAAATGCGTTTTTAAAGATCCAATTGGAGTTCTGGGTAACTCCAACCCTAATGAAAATCACCTGTCTGTAGCTTTCTAATATAGCCTAATCTTGAAGACCTTGATTAGCTTGTTTAGGTGTGTTTGATTAGGGTTGGATGTCATAATAATAACCGTAATCTGGAGATGATTGATTGTTTTTATGGCAACACTATCAACGCCAAATTAATCTGCAGTGGTCAGGTGGTACAGCGATCACGTGGTACAAGTCGGAGTTCTACCACAAGTTACAAGTTGTAGTTATGACTAAACTCCTAAACTCTCCAGGAAATGGATCTCTACTGGAGACTGGCATAACTCTGCATTGAACATCGTTATTAAACAATGTTATTAAAAATGATAGCCTGCAAGAAGATTTTCGATCCAAATTGTCTGTACGCTGATTTGCAGTGAAAAGGAGAAAATAACAAACAGATTATGCTGGAGGAAAGGGTTGGGGAGACGAGGGGAGCAAGGATTGTGTGTTGTGCAAAGAGAGTTGGGGGTAAATACATTTTACAATGTGCTGCTGGTCAAGCAAATGTTTGTGCTTTGTTTCTGTTAAAATACTGATATTCTGGTCTATAACTCTTCCCCGAACATCCCGCTGTCCTGTAGTTTTCAGTCAGAATACATTCACACAGCAGGATTTTGAATCGCCGACAGGTCCAGATATTTAGCATGCCAAATATCTCACGGGTGTCGGCGACTCATCTGCGATTCTCTCAGATCGCGTCGTTGATAATTCACACTGCGTGATTGTCACTCGCGTGAACGAGCACCGATTTGCCTATGGTTTCGGGCATTTGTTGGCGATCTCCCAAAACCTGTCGGCGA